GGAGTGGCGGGGCGGGAACTCGCCTATTACCGTAAGAACGCGAGCGTTACGTTACCGCCACGTACCGCTGGGGAGGTGGGGGTCAACATGTCACAATATATTATTTCACTATTGAGCAGTCAATGTTTATTATTCATATAATAGTGTATAGATTTGACCTAATTAGCAATAGTTACATTTCTCATTAATGCTGTTCCAACTGTATAGATTTTAGATTGGAAGATAATGATAAATGGTTAGAAGGTAATGACTGGAAGGAAGGAGTTGTGGTCTATCTGAATATATGACTCTGGCATTTGCCTGGAGATGAGGAATAACTACTTCATAACCGCCACTGTGATAACTTTAAATCTTACACATTTGTGTACTCTTCTGTTGGGCCATTTACTAACAAGGTCTTTTCCTAGTGTTAAAAGAAACCTGAAGAAAATATGTTTACCTGTGTTATGTTCTGGTAAGTCCGCTTTAAGCTCGCTCGAATTCCTTGAGGTGGCTCATTTGTAAATTTTATTGCCATCTACAAATAAATAGCACAATTTAATACACTAATTTCTCCCTTATAAATATTATAGTTTTTTATTGCTAGTGGGGTGGGACTAAGTCTCTTGTACTGCGGCCATTTCTAGCCTATTGTACGAGCCCCAGATAATAGGTAAGGGTGATTGTGAAGCAATTGGTGGAATGAAGATTGGCAGGGGAAACCGAAGTACTCGGAGAAAACCTGCCCAGCACCACTTTGTTCACCACAAATCTCACATGGTCAGACACGGGATCGAACCCGGGCCGCTGTAGTGGGAAGCCAGCGACTAACCGCTTGAACTATGGCGCGGCCTAATATTATAGAAATTACCAGTGTGTATTTTGCCCGTAAATAAGGAGATGCAACTCATAAAAAGGTAAAATGGAAAGAAAGGGAGCTGAGAGGGTTTTATTTTTGTACTGTGTTAGAGAAAAGCCTTTCCAGTCACAAAAGAGCAATACACCCCAAGCTTGAGAAATAAGAGTTTTAAGATTTTGTAGGCAGTGAATGTTCAAATCACGGTCTTCTGGATTGTGGTACCTTGTAGTCTTGCAGGTGGATGCTGATGTTTCAGAGGAATTATGCTTTCTCTAACATCAGGCTTGGAATGTGAAGGTTGAGGAACTGCCAGGCTGTACCATTAGATTACAAGAAATGTGATCAGTGAGAAGCAGATGAGGGAGGATACTGAAATGGAAACAAATATGGGCCTATAGGAATGGTGGGTGGGAAAATGGCCCTTTAAGGAGCATGTTATATTTCTATTTACAAGTGGGAAATGGAATTATGTGAAAAAATTGCTCTTGGTGATCCAGTCATTTCATTGAAACCAGGGTTAATGAACTCTTATCACCTGTATCAACCAGAGCTGTCAGCTGTGGCAGGAAAGAGCATTCATCTGGCTCACAGTATCAAGCACAGCAACACAAGCATCCTGGTCATGGAGCTCAGGCAAAAGCACCAGTTCATATGGGAAGCAATACAGATCAAGCTCTACACTAACAACATGAAAAAGCAGGACAGATTCTCCCTTAGTAGATCATTAAAGCAGAATATTATCTCCAAAGACAAACTAATACTTCATTACAAAACAACATTTCTCTATTTGGTCCCTTGAAAAACGAGCTGATTTCTCACTTCCTACCAGCATGGGCCTTGAGAATGTCTATATTTTCTTGTAATTCCACTCTGCCTCATGAGAACAATACTGTTTCCTTGAAAGGTTAATATTTTCTCAAAATTCCATTTCCCACCTGTGACAAAAAATATAGTGTCACTTGTATGGGCCGTTTTCCTACCCACCGTCCCTACTGGAGCAGATTTGGCTCCCTGTCCTTAACCCCTGTCATATATCTCAATGATCACCTTTCTTGTAACTGGCCTATATAACTGAGCCAATTTCTCAGCCTACATATTGCAACCTTGAAGATGGAGAGATCATGTTCCTCCAAAATGTCCATATCCACTTACAAGGCTAAAGAGTGCCACAGCCCAGAAGATCACAATCTGAACAAGCCTGAAATATTATCGTGCTAGTGAAGAAACTGGACAAAACATACTCAAACATTTGGTCACCTAAATCTGGAGGTGAAACGAATCTCTGAAACATATAAACTTGTAATATGGACATATTAAAAATAATACAGATAAAGGATTTTCTGTGCCCAAGCACAACACCATGAAGCCATACATAGGAGTAGACATAACACTCCAAATTCTTAACCTTACTACTGGTTGGACTTCTTGGTTCTTTTACTTCTGAGGCAATTGACATCAATACTCACTGGTTAGAAGGATTAATGGACCCCAAACATGGTATGAACATGGTGGTGAACAGAAAAATGCTGACCTTGCCAGGAACTGGTTGCTGAACCATCCTGTAGCCAGTTCCTTTGGTAACTGACATATTCCTGGTTTTTATGATACACACAGGAAATGAGTGAAACCATCCAATTTCCAAGCTCTACTTTTAAAATTAATACTCAATTACATACAATACCAATGCTCTTATTGATTATTTCTAATTTTATTTTTATTACATCTAAGTATATTTTGTTCTCTGTAATGAACATCTACTCCCTTTCTTTGATACTAATGACATCTATTTTACCTGTAAGAGAGCAATAGGAAACTGTGCATGAACTTCTGTAGTCATCCACAGCCGGAATGTGTCATGCACATTTTCAGTTTCAACTAGAGCATCCATAGCTTCATTACAAAATGGAAGTGATAGGTGTATGTTCTGCAGTAACACCCAACCACCTCCTGACATTGAGTCAGCTATAAGGCGGCGTGCATGCATCTCCTGACCCTGTCCCATTGACACTGACTTCAGGGCTAGAAACAGAAACAGTACATGTCCAGAAATGCAGCAGCTTTGCATCCAGGTCTAAGTAAAACTGCTTTAACATCTATAACCATCATCTTTGTAGATTAGGACTAATGGTCAGTTCTATCCTCATAAACGTCTTCTCTGATGAATCCATTTTTTATTATCTTCAGCATTCCTTCTCTCTCATGGGCCATAATTAAAATGATACAATTTTCTTCACATCTTTCAATATGTTCCCACTGTTTCATCATGTGATATGAAATTCCAATTGCAATATCATTATTAATTTATTACCTAATATATTTAATTTATTTTGATATATGAGTACAATTTCTGCTACTGATCTCAGAAAATGCAGTTCAGCAGCTTCAGTTCTCCTTCTATAATTTTACGTTATGCTTCAAACTACTCACCCATATGAAACAGCAGGTCTTCCAATTGTCTTATAAAGCTTAGTTTTTTAAGAGTTTTCATTATGTCGTTTATTCCTTACAATGTTATTATATTAGCTATCCTTGATGTCATCTGTGAGCCGATTAACTAGAAAATGTGCAAGTCTTGATGTTTCACAATCCTATGAGACTCCACTGTCTGTTACTGGGACAGCATTACCTTTTTTACCTATTATCCATTTGATATACCAAATAACTTGTTCTATCATTTCAGGCCTCATTACTGTTTTTTGTTCTTACGTGTTTATTGTGTGCTAAGGAAAGTTTACAACAAATAAACAGGTGAATGGAAGTGACAGTCGCTGGTAGAAACAATATGTATTGCTCTCTGTATGATAATGGTCTCCACATCCAGTAAACCAGCAGAATGATACTTACGTATTTCTTTCTGCTTGGCAAGTGCTGTTACTTGAGGTGATGGGTCAGATCCAATTGAGAGGATGCAAATAAGGGGTGTCCGAGGCTCTGATTCTGCCCATGTCGCATCAAGATCAAGAATGATGGTCTCACCATAGTCAGATCCTAGTGATTCTGCAATGGATTAATCGATTTTTATATGGTAATTATTGGTTTAAACTAAGGTTTCAACTACATTTATTTCTGGGTGTGGTTATAACTTACACTGGACTGAACTGGACTGCTAGTAATCCACAGACAATTTTTTAAATGCTTAGTTTATGTCACTGGCGGTCTCATGATATCTTTCAGTTTATTCAAAGGAAAAACCAGAAACAATGAACCGAAAAGAAGAAGAAAAAAAAAAGGAGTCACAAAGTACATGTACATTGATAAAATGTATCATTCCTTCATAGTATGAACACTCAATATTGGTTCTAACACAATTATGGATTTTACACTGCAATATGTATACATTTGCTAGTTATTAATGAGAGTAAGGCATATTTTAAAGTGTGACACAGCCATACAACACTCTGATATTTCTCTCTTGCCTTATATTATTACTGTTAATAATTATTATAGTGTTTATTCTTTGCAACTGTATGACCTTCTAAGTGCAGGACTTTTAAACTTCTACTTGGTACTCAGACAGAATTTAAGGTGGCAGTTTTGAATTCTGTACATACATACATACATACATACATATTTATTTCGTTCCAGAGATCTACAATTGGCAGTGCTGCCTTGAGATGTAGAACATGTCAATAAAAAGTACATTTAAAATGATAAATTGTTAAAAATTAAATATCCAAGACATTTAAAAAGGCCACATATAATTGTAGTACATTAACAGTTGTAGAACACAAACAAGTAACACATCAAACCAAATCACAGACACAACACCGAAACAAACAACGTCAAAAATCAGGTGCCATTCACAACAATTATAAACAAAAACAGACAGATAATATTATATTCTAGAAGCGACAAATAATAGGCACAATATTTATCTATAGGAAGCACAATCATTCCTTGATTTCCATTCATAATACTCATGTAAGGAATAAAAAGAGCCCACCTGCAAACATTTTTTTAGGGAATATTTGAATTTCTTAATGTCCTCTGACAAGCTTTTAATTCTACATGGCAAGTTGTTAAATATCCTAATCCCACTATAAAACACTCCCTTTTGCACTTTAGTCAGTTTACAGGTTGGATAATGTAAATCTAAACCCCGTCTAGTGTGCATGCCATGAATATCTGAATTTGTTACAAACTTGTCCATATTCTTAACCACAAAAACAGATATTGAGAAAATATATTGTGAATAGAATGGAAGAATGTTTAATGCTTTGAAAATTGGTCGACAAGAGTCCCTGTTACCCTGTTACATGAAAAAAGTATGTATTTGCTGTTCATTTATGAATAACAGTAAAACAAAAATAATGAAATGGAGTAATGAATGCCTCATGAAATGAAAACAATCATAATGTTTTGGCTTAATTTCATGGATTTCTTTACACCATACTAATATTATTGCCATTTAAAATGGCAAATATTAAATTTTACAGCATGAAAGTATTTGATGTAGAATTGGTGAACAATGGACCTGTATAACAGTACATCCTCATATGTTGAGCACTTTCTGATGGTGGTCTCTTAAGACCGAAACACGTTAAGGTTTCTGTGTAATTATATGATATCTGTCACACTTGACGGTGTTATTCACTTGATGCAAAATAGTGTGAAGGACCAGAATGACCTCTGTTAAAAAATAAATATATCTTTCTTTGATGTCTGGCCAATATACACTCACAGTTTTATCCTCATTCAGCTTCATCCTAATTATGATTTGCATGTCACTGTGTGGACAGCAGAACTTCATTTATGAAAGATGCAATTTCATTGCACAGTATGATACTGGACTGAAGGAGAATTGTCTGCTTCACTGCATAGACTATGTCATACACCTAGCATTGTAGGACTCAGCACAATCAGACACAGCTACAGTCACAGTAACAGTTGAGTTTAAGTGTATAGCTCAAAGCATGACACAATATACAGACCACAGTCACACTTCTTGAAACAGGGCAATGGTTTTTCATTTACTTTTCATTTGGCACAAATAACATGCACATGACACTCATTTCCCCTGACTAGCTACTGCAAGGAATGCTTTACTTCAAGTGAGCTCATCTGAGAGTCTGAACTGCTGGGTCAGCATCTTGGCAGACCACACACTTCAATATTCCTTTTGTGAAAGAGAACAGAATCCCTAACCAGCTCCTACTTGAATATCAGGCTGGTGACATTTCCTCCACAGGACCTGTAGACAGGGTATAAACTCAAAATGGTGAGATTTAACAAATGGAAGATGTGTTTCTTTGTCCACTTTCAGATTCTCTTGCTTATGCAGTAGTTCCTCATCATCCTGTCACTGAGGTCAACATATGGGTCTTTGATGATCACAGGCTTCACAGTCTTTCCAGCTTCATTGAAGCTTTCTTCCACAGAGTGAATATGCATATTTGAAAGGCCATACATGTCTCATTTGTCCTTCCAATACACAACCTTTAGGATTCCTTGTATTCTGGATGCAGTGACTTCTATTTCAAGTTGCAGATGTTTAGGACTCAAAAATTAAGTGGAACCTCTTGCCTGTTGTGGCAAACCATAAGACATACATTGATATTCCTCTGGTGGAGATTTTTTAAATATTTTATCAATCTTTCACATGTGAAAGCCTCCAGAACAATTCTAATTTGACTGAATATTTCTTTATTTTAACACATTCATGAAGTTTTTACATGAGTAGGTGTGTCTCGTAAAAGCATGTGATATATGCCATTGCGTACTGCAAGATAAAAAGCACTGCTCTTAGACAATGCTTACTGCTGTGAAAATTTGGTTTTTCTATCATGGCTTGTTAGTCATAACATTGTTAAGTAAAGACTTTTTCCTTTGTTTTCTCATTTATATATAATTATGAGATTACCTTACTTACATATAAAGACTCACCCATGATATATTTGCGAGCTTGTGACAGAGTTCGATCAGGACTCCACGATCGGATCAATAGCAATTTCCGGAACACATCGAGGGAGGAGTTGTATCCACAAGGAATTACTTCCTCCTCAGGTCGTTCTTTTTCATACCATACTCGCCAGTCCTTCTCATTCTGTTCTATCTGTAAAATGGAAAATATTGCTGTAGCAAAAGTGGGGTATGTCAAATTCAATGCAGATTATCTTCAGTGGAGAACTGCATCCTGGTCATAAACAATCCAATTTTAAAACTGTGTATTAATACAGTAAAAGATCCATGCATGTTGCATGCAGGTAGTTATGTTACAAGTTACAGGAATGTACCTTGGTGAGAACATCTGAGAAAGTGGATAGTTTGCTTATTTCCACCAGGTTAAGCCAGGTAATATCCAAAATCCAGCGAAAAGGTTTAGGTTCAACAGCATTCAGATCCAGTGAGGCACCGCCTGTATAAAAACAATACAGATACAAGAACACTTAAGAATGGGGCGCACATTTAAGACAAAAAAAATTGAAAATAGTAAAAGTCACGTTGGAGGCTCCAGTGGACATTATTTAAACAGTAACTTATATATTATCGTGTGTGGGGATGACTAAATGGGGTTTGGTTTGGATGTTTGAATTTATTGCACTTATACACACATCTTGTAACTACAGGTAATTCCAGCGCTATTGCTAATCTCCGAATTTTACAGTTCACTGCTGCAGGCACTAGTGTCCTCAGTCTGTCACAGTCTGTTATGGACTTCAACATAGAACTATAAAAGCCACTGAATTACACACTCCAAATATTGTGGCACTATAGCACACAAAAGTCTTCTCTTCACAGCCAGACTTTCAATTCCACTGCACTCAATAATTCTGATACCTCAATTCCTTAATTCAATTCCTCTGCTCCCAAGATCATATCTTGGGAGGCTGACATCTTGAAACTCAATTAACTCACAGTTACCATCTTCTCAATCATTTTCAGCTGCCATCTCAAGAGACTCCTTCAATTAATTCATCTGGCCTTGGATTCTTGTTATATAGTCTTGGGTTGGATCCAACAGAAAACACCATGTCCATCATTATAGCCCAACAATACTTCGATTGTTCCTTGCAGATTCATTGCTGTGGGAACCTGTTTATTGAGTTGTTATGTAGCAATGCACGTCTGCTGTGGGCCCACAATTCTGGCTTTCAGGTGTCACATCACAATATCATAGTCCCATAAGATACAGAAGAACTTACTGGCTACAAAGTAACTGCTGTCCAATGAAATTTATAATAATACACCTTAGTATGCGTGTGTCATGAGAGGTGTCAGATAGAAAATGAAACAGCCACACACGTCCTGTGCGAATGTGAGGCTTTAGCTTCTTTACGACTATGTCACTTGGGTCAGTACTTTATGGAACCAAGTGACTATTTCGAAGCCCCCATGTCCAAAATCCTGCGCTTCATCCGAAGCGTGGGGTTGCTGAGGGAATAATTAAAAAGGGGAAGCACAATGGACCACTGAGGTCTAAGTGCAAGGGCCGAGTAGGCCTACCCCTTCATACATACATACATAGTATGAGAAACTGGAGAACAATTTAAAATCATCTTGTCAAAAAAGCAGCTGCTGTGTTTCATCCGTTTGTATTCTTCAATCCCCACAATACCTCTCAAGGTACATGTTTCTTTTTGAATCAGTGTTTACTATACCTTGGCAAAAGAAAGTAAATTACTTTCTTAAATAAACATTAATGATGATTCATGGAATCTAATTACTTTCAATTTATGATATTTAGCAAAATTCAAAATACCTTCTTTATCTTCAGTCTGCCTCAGATTTGCTTTTGCGAACTTGTTCTCATTTGATAACACAGAAATTATTCAGAAAGAATAGAATTTACACTTTGAAAATGGTAGCTTTTGAGAGACTGTGTGTTCCCATTTTGAGAATTTTTTTTGTGTGAAAGAGAAAGTAAAATAATACAAATTGAGTATTCAATTAGCAAGCCATATAGTTCCTTCCTACTTTCTTCAAATGACATTATGAACTATCAATGGATCTTATATGTTTTAATGTACAAAAATTCAGCAATCTAATTGGTCTTCCTCCACTCCTTCACAGCTGTGTTTCTGCTGGCATTGACTCACCCTTGATGAAGGCACTGAATTCATCGTGGGAAATGAGGCCTTTATGACAGTCAATTTTCATGGCCAACATAAGGGTGAATAAGATTTTATGGCGTTCATATAAACTACGCAGTGTGAACGCCCATACTTCATATGTGAGGTAGCTGAGAATGTTTGCAATTCGCTCATCCGTAACGGAGCTCTTTGTAGACCTAAAACAGATACAATCATCAGTACTGTTTAACGTAAGGCCCATAAACATCTGCATCCTTATGTATGTAAAAAATTATCGGGGCTTGAAATATGTAGTCACATACCCCTCTGGCAAGATGACTTTTAAGTCAGCAGGCATAAATTTACAACAGTAATTTATTATTGTATTATGATTCAGCTTCTGTCATATTTGGCCCACTTTTCTTTCTTAAGGAAAAAACTAGGCTTGTGGGATCACCATGATGCTGCATATGTGTGTATGTGCACATATGCCATCTTTCAGTTTCTGAATACAAACTAAATTTGTGAGATCACCATGCTGCTGTACATGTGTGTATTTGCACACACACCATCTTTCAGTTTCTAAATAAGTTGACCGATTATCACATGTCATGGACATTACACCATTAGAAATCACCTCAAAATCATACTTTAAAATTTCTTGCAATTCATGAGAACAACATGGATGATGCACAAACTTGTGAGGTGGGAGCAACACTATGGCACTTAATACATTGCCTTGAAATTATGTATGGTATTAGATCTTTGAAAAATATACATTTTCAAGGTATCTGTTTTGAAAAATGCAAAATGACTATGGTGGTGGCATGAAATCTATATTTAGCATTTAGTTTTATGGTGAGAACTAATGAATCACTGTAGCCAGACAAACGACCCTTAGCCTGAAGATAGATCATAAACATGTCTACTAGATCTGTATGATATTTCTAATTTATCAGTTAAGAGTTACTAACATGGTGACAGTGCAAAATTTTGAGGCTATGTTCAACAAATTTAACATAGCCAAATCTGTACTTAAGTAAAACATTCTTTCAAAAAGGGAATCAACAGCCACATATTTACAACTATAGAAATTTCACTTGACTGGGATTCAATGTTATGACCATCTGCATACAAGTGCAGCATGCTGACATGTGAACGAGACTGACTTGTATTGTTGAACTATAAATCTGCATTATCTAAATAAGACATTAGCAAAACAACATTACACCACCTACAACCTTAATGGTTCTACCTACACATTTTGTGGAATGAGGACAACAGTGTACAATATTTGAAAAATGAACAGTTGAACATAGGACACACAACAAACAGGAATTGATTTTGTCTAGCTTTTATTGTGAATACATTCATTTTAATAATGTGTATACAGATATTATACCCTAAGAAACTATATTCATTTCTAACCAAAAAGATAATGAAAATTTGAGACAGAACCTTTAAGGAGGCAATTTGTAAGACTAGAATTCTGCAATAGGCATTTAGATATCATGAGTTCTATCCAGAATTGTTTCAAAATTGGTGCTATTTTCTTGGAAGCATCATCCAAACTATTTTCTCTGTTCTAGTCCCTGATCTGCTATTCAACTAATTCATTATGAAGTGCTTTGTGGTTGTACTGAGATGATACATTTGGACAAAAAATAAAATGTTGGTCACTTCTACTCTTACTACATTCTATACTCACTTTGTGATAGAGTTGTCAAAAATGTTAAGGAACTGCTTCAGGGAATTCTGATACATCACATTCACATTGCTCATTTCTACAATAAGGAAATAGAGAATAGAACCTCTGGATGCCACTGCACGAAACTCTTCCCGTGCCACATTAATCTTGCGTTCTGTATGTGCTGATACCTTAAGTTTCTGATTTACTTCCTCAGCTGTCAACTTTGTTTCTTGCAGTACATGTATGAGGGCTTCATCATCCACGAGTGAGCCCTGTGAACATTGGTGACAATTATGTAACATATTAATTTTGTGTAAATAAGGACCTATGAAGTTGCATGGATTTTAGAACCAACTCTGAATCTGAACAAACTATCTGAATTAAGGGATGAAGAACAACCAGAACTCCTCACGTAAATATACATTTTTAGCCACATTTAAATAGCTATTTATACAACAAATATTACCAAGTAACTCACTTTTGCAGTGTCTCAGCTACTGGAATCAGTAATGGCAGAGGATTGTGACACATCAGTGATGTAATGCACTGAACTGATGGCAATATATTCATGCAAAATCCTGATGAAAATATCAGAGGCTTAGTTTCAGTCATCAACACATACTTCTGATTGATTTTTGGTACTTTTCGAGGTAATGGAAGCATTTAAAAACAAATACACTTTATGTCCTCATCATGTACGTGTGTCCAACCATCTCTGTTTCTTCATCTCACCACTTATTCACCCATGCTTCTATATTTTAAATAAATCTGTTATTGTTAATCTTTATAAAAATTGGATAAACGCTATATAAAGTGTTCAACAGTAGAAAGACGGTGGACATAACGAAGAGAGATTTAAAGAATACAACACCACATTTAATGCAATACAACACAATATAACTGAACATCCCCTGTCTTCTACAACTTTTAAAACACAAAGTATATATAGCATTCAAATTAACTGGTTTGATAACATCAGAATAAAGTGAAATTAAATGGCATGGCAAAGGGTTAAGTTAATTACGTGCATGTGTGAACTCTTTTATCACATAACATATTATTTTAATCACTTCGTACTAAAATGTTTTGTACAAACCTGTGTGGAGGTCAAGCGACAGAGTAAATTGCTCTCAAGTTCTTTCATACTGCGCTGATTTTTCATTACTGACTCAAACAAAGCCACACGTTCTGCTTCTAGGTCTGATTTCTCCATCAGGATCACACGTCCTGGGAACATTTATTATTTCCTATAGTCAAACATATATGTATAATAAAGACTTTTTAGTTTTCCTTAAATATGATGCATTTTAGTCATGACTCAAAACAGAATAACAATGGGAAAGGTTTACTCTAATAAAGCATATATATAGTCATGATTTTGAGGTTTGACTACAAACTGGGTATGGATTAAATACTGGATTTATTGATAAACTTGCATACACCACTTGGAACTACACTTTACAGATCACTGACACACACAGACCAGTTTCCTCAGTCTATTACTGTCTCCACTAGACATTTCATGGCAATGGATTTAACACAGGAACTATAAGAGTCTTACTGAATTACACACTCCAAATATCACATACAAAGTCTTCCTTTCATGGCCAAACTCTTGTAACTAACTCTTTTCTTCACAGCCTGCCATACAGAGTTGCCTCTCAACTGACAACTCTCAACTAACTGGGTTCCAGTCTGGCAGCCATTTCACACCAACCTCCTAGTCTTTTCTTCACAGGCTGACTTTCAACTGACAACTGACAAATGAACTCTCTCTCACCAGCCAACTACTTCACTTCACTTCACTTCACTTAATTGCATTTAGCCAGCTTGAGATCATTGTTATATAGCTTCAGGGTGAACCTGACAGAAAATACCCACATTTCCATTGTAACTGTACTGTTATGTGTGTCTCATTTCTGTGGGAACACGTTTACTGAGCTGTTACCAAGCAACACATGTTCCTTGCCATGATCATTGCAGAGCAACAGTACTACACATTACAATATTTTTGAAATGCATTCTTTGCTATTTTGCATCTTATCAGCCTAACGTTCATTTACTAGAGTATAAACCTGTGGCAATGCCAGTGACACTAAAACTGTCATATTGTACAGAAGCAGAAATAATCTGAACTTGTATTCTGTTAAATATTCAACATATTCAAACACATTTCAAACAAAAGTTGTAAACTGTAGTAAGATCAATGTGAGAGCCGCGCCATACCTCAAGTGGTTAATCGCTGGCTTCCCACCGCAGTGGCCCAGGTTCGATCCTGGGTCTGGTTAAGCGGGATTTGTGGTGGACAAAGTGGCACTGGGGCAGGTTTTCTTTGAGTACTTCGGTTTCCCCTGCCAATCTTCATTCCACCAATCACTCCGCAATCATCCTCACCTATCATCTGGGGCTGGTACAATAGACCAGAAGTGGCCACAGCACAAGGGACTGTCCCACCCCACTAGCATTAAAAAAAATCAATGTGTTTTATGTCATATAAATTTATGTATGAGCTGTTTTTGAGAAAAACAAATGTTAAGTTTGAACTTTATGTACAGCAGTGGCTATCTTGGATCAACATGAAAAACAATTATATTCACCCAACGGCATTTAATATAAATCCCCAATACTAATTTTAATTTAAGCTGTCAAGTTTTTTTAGAGATTAAACAGACAGATATGACAACCTCTGTATGAATTCACTTTATGTACTTTGTGAGAAGAATGCTTAATAACTTGTTCAGTAGCAAGATGGCTTACTAACCCAGAAGCTGCTCTTCCAGTCCCAGAATTGTAACTGTGAAATCTATGATGGATGTCTTTGCACTGATTTCAGGTGAATAGGCAGGATTTGGTAGTTTAGTTGTAATGTACAGCATAAAGCCTGGCATGACATCACACTCCTTGTCCCCAACTACAACCTGAAATGATGACAGAAGTTGAACATTCTTGTTCATAAATAACTTATGGTGTTTCAAAATTCCTCATTCCCTATCACAACAACAGATCTACAGAAATGTAACCATATGCTGCCACACTATTTATATCTGCTGTAGTAATCTAGTAAAAAGTGTGAAAGCTGTCCACTCTTGTCAATTTATTAACCATCAGAAGTGTTCTTTAAAATGCATATCACAGTAAAATTTTTCATTCAAAGCAATTTTTTAAAACCTCAATTAGATAATATGTTATCTCAACTACAATATAACTGGTACTGGTACTGAGGCAGTTTATTTAATTAATGCACTGTAGTTGTTATTTGCGATTCACTCACCGCCAAATTTTCTCTAAGGTCACATTATTGAATAACTGGGAGCATATTTACAAAAGATTGAAGGTCACTGTGGTCACTCACTCAAGTTCTGTGCATATTCTGCATAGGTTGTGCCCTGTGTATTAGAGGTGAATGAATTTTCGTGTTTTGTACTGTGATTCTGAAAATGGTGGATTTGCAAACAGAGTAACATTACATTATTCAGAGCTCAAATATTACCCTACACTCCAAAGAGCTTCCACAGCAGCAGCTCTTTGGATATACAATACCAAGCAGTGGCTTCTAACATGCATTTAGTAAGTGGGTGGGGTACTGGCAGAAATGAGTATATGTAAGATAAGATGACTCAGATGGAAACAAAATGTCAATGGATGGCAGCAATGGCAGGTACAGTGTACTAATTGGATGAGCAATCTATGTACAATGAAATCTCTATTTTATGAATCATTTCGGGTATGCCTACTCTTAGAGAAAATCAAGATTTTCATTAAATTTGGATTATGAAAAATTAAATCAAGAAATATTCATGTTCTTACAAGGACACAATAAAATCATTTGTTTACATATATCATAAAAGAAACTGTTTCTACTCAAAAGTACAATTAATTTCTAAAATAATTAATGATATGAAATAAACACTGCAACAAGACCACTCTAACAAATCAACTATGATGTCACAGTACATGATTTTGGTCATGTTTAATTTGCTGTCATTTTCCAAAGATTATGGTTACACAGTAACAACTTCCAGCAAGAAGAAAATTTGAATACTGATCGTTGTTTCAATGAAAAACATACTAAACTGAGATACAAGTTCTGGGAAGCAGAAAAATTCTTACATCAAAAGTGGGTTAATTACTAGTTAGTTAGTTATTGGAGAGGGTGGGTTTCCCCATGCACTTAGACCAGTATTGGTCCATTGTGCTTCCCTCTATGATATTCTACCAGTCTCTATACCCTACCAATAATGGTGCATACCATCAGTCCCGGCGAGCAAGCGAGTTCGGCCACTTGCTTGGCGGTGTCTATAATGCTTCCCCCAACTATCAGAGGCCTTAGAGACCATTGTTGGGCGGGAAAGGTCCTGGAATTTGGCTCAGTGATCTCCTTTGGAGATATGAGGTTCTTTTACGTGCCGTAAAGTTATGACACGGGACACACGGCTTAAAGTCCCTCCCAGTGAACTTGTTCCCTGAATTTTTCCACCCTTAAAAATTCGACGACGTCCGCCGGGTATTTGAACCCGCGTACCATGAGTCGTGAGGTGGGAACGTTATCTCTAGACTACAGAGGCCGCTGGGTTAATTACTAAATAAAAGATCAATTAACAAAGTAAAACAATGCATTGCTTACAATGGAGTTCAGCTCGGAAAAGAAAAATAAATTCAATAAATATGGGATTTTACTAGCTGTGGGAGCAGTAGATAAGGTTACAGTGTATTTCTTCTTACCTAGCATGTTGTGATATACTGTCATTTCTTCATTCTCGTAATATTAAAAGAAAAACTAGGAATTCAAACTCTTACTGATTTGTGTTCTTTTTGTGTCATTCCTGAGGTAGAACTTTGCAAGCCCCATTCTTGCTTTAGACCGTGGTTTAAGAAATTTTCTCCTTTATCACATAATGAAGTTAAGAAACCAGTCACACATTGATCTATTAATTCTATGACAGGCTTCTTTATGATGTTAACATAAGACAATGAAAATCTGTAAATATTTACTTACCTTCTCAATTGAACCAGACTTGATAAAATTCTTTTCAAGAACATTGTCAATAACAGGATCAAGTTCCTCTCCTACGTCCTCTATAAGCAGAGGTCGCCCCAATGACAGGCTATCTTCCAAGTGTGTGCGGAAATACTTGTGATTCAATGATGTGATCTGCAGCACAACATGGTAAAATTTACAATGGCACTATAGCAAATTACTGTATTGTTTTTCGGGGAACTTTATAACAGTGTAAGAATTTGTACTTCATTTTTCACTTTTGCCCATGATTTTGACAAAAATTCCCAGTGTTCAGTCTCACAGTGGGAGAATGCAGACTTATACACTCTAAATGTTTAACTAATCATTTTAATTCCCCTTTCTCAGAGAATCATACATTTATTTTCACATTTACTATATAACTATTACATTTGAGCATTTTTAACACATTTATCTCTTAATATTATAATATTATATTCCATCATCCTGCTGCATTAATATCTCACTCATTCACTTATTTCCATTTATAAAGCAAACACAAAGTGTTATTTTAAAATGTCATTAAAATAATATCATAAAATGTGATTCTAATGACATTTTATGAACACTAAATGTAATTGTAAATGACATTTTAAAATAAAACGTTGTGTTTGCATTATGGACAGAAGTGAATGAGTGATCCTTATCTCTCCTTTAATAATATTAGAGGTTTAGGAGTTTAATTTTGTTCACTGTTGTTATTTAACCATGATAACCATTTTTTTGTTAAGATCTGAAGCCATGTCCATATACTGTATGAATATTCAAATCCATCAGAATCAACCTCACAACCTTCATTCCACATTCAAGTGCTAAAGAACAAGACCAGTCCAACCTTAGGGCTGCTACAAACTGTGGATGTCAATGTAGCTCTCGAGAATAAATGATACGTTAATACAAATGATAATGCAAGTATGTTGGGGGAAATGGCTATAACGTATCTTTAAATGCTATCCTAGAGATACTGTGGAATATCATGGAAAATTTTAAGCCAGGATAGACCAGCCCAATTGGGATATCAACTGGGTATCTTCCAAATATGGGTTAAATGTGCAAATTTTTTTCTGTGGAAAAACATGGATACATCCAGCAAATGTCTACATCAAAACTGTACTTTTAACACACAACTTTACTTATTCATGGAATTCCTGTGTAAGATAGATCTTAATTTCGAAAGTTAGTTATTAATATGCAGCATAATCATTTAGGAGGGAAACTGTGTTACATAAAAAATCTATAATATTTTTGTTGAAAAAACTTTTCTTGACATGGTATATTCACAAGGACATGAATATAAAGGAAAGATAAAAGAGAGAGAACTTCAAATAGTCTAAAGATTGTGCATTACTCATATAATATTTTTATTTTATGCTATAGTATTTATTGATGAAAGTACTGTCATTAACTATCAGAGCATCAGAAAACACCTTACCTGCAACTCATTATTGGATTCTTTGTTCTTGATCCACATCTTTCCTTGAGTTTGTGGATCCACCAACAGAGGATATGAACTCGATTTTGTAACAATGATAGCATTTTGAACGGAGAGCTCATCATTAGGGAGGCCTTGTAATGTCCATTCTGATACCTGAACAGAGTTAAACTAGTTAACAATTTAATTCTCTTCCTTGAATTGAAACCAGCCAGAATTTATCTGATAATGATAATGAAATATATCATAACAGTAACAGGAAAAGTAATAACAATTATACCAATAATGACAAGGGGAGGAGTAAAGGAATCAGCGGGAGGGTGAGCAGGATGGTGGAAGAGAAGGAGAGCAGCAGTAGCCATGGCTGCAGAACTGTCATGGCCACTAACACTAGGTGGAAATGAGTTCACATTTGTACATCTGGCCACCTTCATTCTGGTTTGTGCTGCAAAACTTTCACAGTAGGTCACAAACATTCTATTATAATCTATTATCTATTGTCTGCTGGCAGAATAAATTACAATACATGCAATTCATACAGTGTGTGTTAGCTACAGTAATATAAATAAACAACTAATACTTCTACATTTCACAAAACAAAACAATATATGTGTAAGAATTGTTTCTATATTTATACTAGTACAAAAATATGTTCATGTAATCTTCTTTTGCAACCACTGGTGTACATAACAAAGATGCTGTGCTCCAACATGCTCACTAATTGTTTGCTTTCTTATTTCCCTACCATTCCACTGTCCACCAACATGTTGCTTATGTTTAGATCATGTGTAAATGGAATATCATGACTCTTCAGATTGTTCATCCAGCTACGAATAAGACCAGAACGAAATTCTTGATTGTATGGTCCACAGTAGGACAGGAAACCTGTGGCCAACACCACATCTCCCACAAGCCTGTCCAGTGGTAATGAGAACAACAAAATAAATGTCATTACCTCTTTAATAAATGTATGCATATGTAAGCAGAAGGTTGTTAACTAGCTCCTTGGAACTGAGTCCTTCTTGGGAAACCACCAGTTGCGCTGCTACTCAAGAATTTATCAACATTAAATGGAACCAAAAGGTTCATTACTGTGCTCACAAGGACCCAAAACTGGTCCTTATCCTGAGCCAGATCAATCCAGTCCATACCACACTGTACTATCTCTCTAAGATCCATTTTAATATTACCCACCCACCTATTTCTTTATCTACCTAGTGGTCTCTTTCCTTCTGGGTTTCCACCAATGTTCTATATCCATTCCTGCTTCTCCCCCATTCGTGATACCACCTGATCCTCCTTGGCTTGATCAGTCTAATTATGCTTTGCAAAGAGTACCATTTATGAAGCTCCTCATTATGCAGTTTTCTTCAACCTCCTGTCACTTCATTCCTCTTCAGTCCAAATATTCTCCTGTTCTCAAACACCCTCACTCAGTATTCCTCCCTTACTGTCAGAGGCCAAGTTTCACACCCATACAGAGTCACAGACAAAATTATAGTTTCATATATTCTAATTTTTTTTTTTTTGACAATGGACGAGAAGACAAAAGGTTCTGAACTGAATGATTGCAAGCATTTGAATTAAATCTCCTCGTAGTTTCCTCCTGAATCAAATTTTGATTTATTACAGTCGTTCCAAATATTTGAACTGTGCCCATTGTCACAGGATCTCTTAGCTATTTTATGTCATGATCCTACCCTGCATGCTGGTCATGAGACAGCAATATATATCAGTTTTCTCTGCGTTTACTTCTGGACTAACCTCCTTACTACATTCAATTAAAGTTTGTGTGTTCTTGCATATGGTATCTCCCAGTAGATTTACATCAGCTCAGAGGAGCAGCTTATTCTTCCCATTTAATTTCAGTTCCACCTCATTTTCCTGAACCTTTTTACTGGCATATCCTCAACTTTCTGAAAAGGACACATTTATATAAATGCTAGAAAACTTAGTATAAAATACATAAATTGTATGGAAACTATTCTTGCCTGTAAAGTTCTGGGTCCCAGTTAAACCTCTATATGAAAATTTCCATATGTTGAAGCATACTAAGGGCAGAACATTGACTGGGAGTGTTTGAGAACGAAATATTGAGATTATTTGAACATAAGAAGGAGAAATATGAGGACAGAGAAAATGACACAAGATGGGGCTTCATGATTCAAACCCTTCATTTATTAACAGGGTCATTAAATGAAAGAGATTAGATGGGTGGAACATGTAGAACATATGAGAGAAATGTTAAATGCAACAAAATATCATGAAATAACTGAAAGGAAGAGGCAACTTGGGAGAACAACACTATATGGATTCTGTAGAAACAGAGCAGAAGGGCACGGACTGATTCCTTCCTCCCCACACTTTATGCTAAAACAGTTCATATAAATATTGCTCAAACCTTGCCATTACAGAAGAATAAGAATGAAAAATGACAGCTGTGCTATGCACTAAGTTATCTCAATCTTTTTCCCAAGATCCATATCCTTTCCCCATGACTCGTACATCCTTCAGAATCAAAAGAAAAGTGACTGACCTGCCCAACTGTTCCTTAAATTGCTGGCTCATCTGTGTCCAGCGGATCTTCTCTCCTCCCAGTCCATTAATCAGAGTAGTGGCTGCAGTCATCTTGCGCAGACAGCTGTTGGCTGCATCTGTGAGACGTTGCTTCTCTGACACTGCAGCATCATACTGCTCTTTCACCTCTTGCAGAGCCATTTCTCGTTCCTCCAATTCTTGTTCTGCAGCTGCTAGGTCAGCCATTGCTACAGTCAGACGAGCCTCTTGAAGTGTTAGGTTAGCCTGCATAAGAAGTGTAGTTATATTTTTTCTATATAAGTACAGAAGTCATGAAAATTAAGATGACTGAATACATAGAGCATTCAGCAAATTTAAACCAGTATCATTATATATGCTACACTACTATAATAGGGCCTATACAAATATACTGCTCATGTATGTCTGTTTCTTAATGTATTTAAAGTATGTATGTATGTATGTATGTATGTATGTATGTATGTATGTATGTATGTATGTATGTATGTATGTATGTATGTATGCATATTTCTAAGTTCTTTAAAGCTTCGTCAGCTGGATAAGTCATGTAGTATTTATTGGAATGGGATGGGGAGGGGGGGGAGCTATATGTGAATTGGAAAAAATGTGGATGGGCACATTTATGACCTGTTTTAAGTAATAACATAGCATTTGCCCAGAGGAACTGACAGAAACCTCAGTCAGTGTACTGGCTATGAATTAAAACCAGGGTATCCTGTATATGAAAGATTTGTGACCATTATACCATGATGTTCTCTTTAGACAGCATATTCAACTCAGTTCATTTCAATTTGATTCATCATTTTTATTCAAACTACTGAGACAGGTTATGTCTTATATACACATCTGAAAGTGACATAAATATCTCAGCAAAGTTCCTTCATGCTACCATGCAATACAGAAGTGATTCATAAAAACAAACCAATTCAAATATCACATTCCACTAATTTAACATGACATATATTCATCTACAGAGTAAAATGTATGTTGTAATGGGTAGGATCTCAGCTATCTTTCAAACTGTTTTGTTTCTTCCACTTCCTGAACGTCATTTAGAAACTTATTGCATAATTTGATTCCCATATTTATTATACTTTTCATGAAGGCATTTATTCGGCCGCATCATAGCTCAAGTAGCGACCCAGATTCGATCCCGGGTCTGGTTAAGTGAGATTTCTGGTAGACAAAGTGGTGCTGGGGCAGGTTTTCTCAAAGTACTTCCGTTTCCCTTGCCAATCTTCATTCCACCAACTTCTTCATGCTGCCATGCTGAGTGGAACCAGTTGGACTACACCCCCCACTAAGTGAATTAAAAAAAACAGGTATTTATGGTACAAAACTGAACATGGAAGTTCACCTTCTGGCATGTATTATGGTTATGAATTCTGGCCTTTTTCCCAGGTTATCTATATGTAGACTTAGGTGGCATATTACTTCAGATATGCAGGGTACTGGAAGCATATTTAAATCCTTAAAAATTGCATGCACTGGTTTCACACTGCTACAATGTAGAAATATAATATTTAAAATTGTGGTATTTTTTACAAAGGTACACAGAAAATTACTGTTCCTATATCTTTTGTGTGTTAATTAGGTGTTAGCTGCCAACTGAGACATTTTATTAGTAATTCTCTTTTAGATTTTTGTTGTTGGTTGGTACTGCTATGTGCAATGTTAGAAGTACAGCATCCATGTTTCTGTGCATGCAAACTCTGGACTTGAGTGTGAGGAAAACAATGGTATAAAACAGAATATTTCTCTTTGCATGTTCTAACAGCATTTATGTCAGCTGATGGTACGTGAGAAGGCAATATGTAAAATGAAAGGCAAAGTTGTTGCCATGCTTCATTAAATAAAAAACATAGGGCTTCTGGAGAAACAATTTTGTTATGCACACAAATATATGTATAAATATGAAAAGCACTTTGATCAATTCCATGGAATTCTTGCTAAGAAGCTGACAGTTAATCAGCTAATCAAGAAATTCCCCATCTTCCATGGAAAATGAAGGTTCACTACCATGTTCACATGCCTCATCCTCTTCATTTGATCCACCTAATAATACTTAGTGAAGAGTTCAAATCATGAAGCTTCACATTATGTAGTTTTCTCCTCTGACTTCCTCAGTCTTATGTTCAAATACTTTCCTCAACACCATAAACTTATGTTCGTCTCCTAAGGAGAGAGAACAAGTTTCATGTTCATATAAATCAAAACATAAAATTAGTTTTTACGAGTTAATCCTACAATTCTAGATAATGCCAAAACTGATGATTCTCAGGTGAATGGCAGGAAACATTGTCCAAGTTTAATTTGTTTCTGATTTCTTTATGAATGCAAATTCTGATTTGTTACTATCAATAAAAAACATTTCAACTCTGCCACAGTTTTGAAGGATATATTCAGGATCTTTATACTGTGACTCAGTTTTGAATAGTGATTGTACTAGCAAGGTGTGTTACGAATATATCAAATAGATTACAACTTTATAGATTAACTAACTCAATTATATGTCATGAAACTGCTGTGCTGGACATATGTAGGGACAAGAAATGAACCGTTACAACCATCCTGGAAAAGAAACTGAACCTCATTCACACAACCACTTCACTAACTCAGCTGCATCTGCTCCTTGTGCATAAATATGCATATCTTATTATGCATAGCTAAATAATAAATCAGCTTCTCACCTTAAGAGGAAGTACCTCCTTGTTCACACTGTGAAAGAAAGCCATAGCTTTTGTCCATGACAGCAGACCTGCCACATCACCACACACATGTTTGGCTGTATCCATGTTGTAGTCCTCCATCTCAAAGTATGGCTGCAGTAGCTCTACCATTTCATTGTTGATGATATCTTTAGGATAGTTCTGAAGCTGGAGGAGGAAAGTTGTACTTGCCATCATCTAAAGAAATATGAAGAATATCATGAATTAGAAAATTTAAATAAACTAACTCACATTTTATAAAAACAATGCTTTGCTTCAAGTGAACATGGATTTTCCATTAAAAAGTAAATAATTTGGAATATGGTGACAAAAGATTCATACAGATTTATCCAAAAGAACATTACAATTCTATTTATGCTAATATATTTTGCATCTTGAATATTTATTTTTAAGTTTTTATATTGCAAATGAGTGTTCTAGAACTTTCAAAGCATGTCAACTAATATACACAACATAAATGCAATGCACCCTATATAAACAACAGTAAAAGGAGGTATATGTATAGTACACATACCTAATACATGTACAAAAACTCAAATTTTTCTGCTTGTTTCATATTTCCTATCTCAAGACACAACAAAGAACACCCAAAGCTTCACACCCAACTAACTTAATTCATAAGGGACACAAAGCTCATTTGTTCTGACTACAGAAGAATTTGCTCTGTGTTAATGTTCAAAGCCTGAAGAATTTATGCAGTCATTCCTTTCTGGAAGAGTGGAATAGAAAACAGTGTAATTATTACAAACAACTGGCATAATACCAATTAGGATCCATCTCATAAGTAGTCTATGAAGAAGAGCATTTTTGCATTAGCAATTATCAGCATATCAGGTACATTACAACAAATGTAATAAAAATTGCATATCACACCACATTAAAATGGTTCTACATGAACTATTTGTCCTGTAAAATTCTGTAACTTCTGTGCAAAACATTTCTTGAAATAGAAACAAAATCAGCTAAAATTAAAGAATTGATATACATTTAAACAGGAACAAAATCTGAACCTGATCATGAATCATTAGTTACTAAAAAACGAAGTTGTATAGGTTTTTGAATGATTAGTAGCAGGGCTACAGAAATACAGCTTAAATATACTAGTGACCTAACCAAATTCATTTGACAAATAATCTAATTTTATGCAAGTGATGCTAACTGATGTAAGAGAGAGTGATATATCACCAAAACACGGTAATTTTTTTTTTCAATTAAGGCTATTTCACAACATTTTTTAATGGGAATCAAATATCCCAAGGAACAAATTTGTTGTTACACTTTTAACATATCCAGACTAGAACTAAAAATACATTTTTCACAAGTGCCTGGGTAAGACACTATCTATGTTGAGAGGGTGACTGTATGTTGGAGCCCTGGACAGAGCCATAAAAATACCTTGAGAGATTCAGCCCAAGATGGCTTGGGGCATGGAGCTGCTGTGTCACCAATAACAGCATGCAATTTGCGTTGAAACAGAATCAACACACAGTCCATGATGCGCATGATAAGATGTGGTGGACGTCCCAGCTTTCTAACAGTGGCTATCAACAGGCATCAGAATTTAAATGTAGACAGTGTCAATGTACGAGTACGTAAGCGAGTCAAATGAAAACCTTAAATATTTTTTTGAGTATTATTTATTGTGCACAAGTGGTACAAAGCTGTATCACTGTTCAGCATAGTCTCCCCCACGCTCAATGCAAGTCCTCCAGTGCTTACAAAGTGCATGAAATCCTTTAGAAAAAATTCTTTTGGTAGTCTGCGCAACCACTCATGCACTGCATGGCATACCTCTTCATCAGAACGGAACGTCTTTCCTCCCATTGCTTCTTTGAGTGGTCCAAACATATGGAAATCACTTGGGGCAAGGTCTGGTGAGTATGCCGGATGAGGAAGACACTCAAAATGCAGGTCATTGATTGTTGCAACTGTTGTACAGGCAGTATGGGGCCTTGAATTGTCATGTTGCAAAAGGATACCTGTGGACAGCAACCCACGTCGCTTTGATTTGATTAGGAGATCTGAGTATAATGCACTGGTGACAGTGGTCCCTCTAGGCGTGTAGTGCTCCAAGATGATGCCTTTTTCGTCCCAAAAGAGAGTCAGTATAACCTTCCCTGCTGATGGTTGTGTTCGAAACTTCTTCGGTTTTGGAGATGAGGAATGGCGCCATTCCTTGCTCGCTCTCTTTGTTTCCAGTTGGTGGAAGTGAACCCAGGTTTCGTCCCCAGTAACGATTCTAGCAAGGACGTCATCACCTTCTCGTTCAAAGCGCCGCAGAAGTTCTTCACAAGCATCAATACGTCGGTCTTTCAATTCAGGAGGCAGCTGCTGTGGCACCAATCTTGCAGACACTTTGTGAAACTGGAGCACATCGTGCACAATGTGGTGTGCTGAAACATGACTAATGTTTAAACTTGCTGCAATTTCATTCAGTGTCACTTGGCGGTTTTCGCTCTCTATGGCTTCAACTGCTGCAGTGTTCTCTGGAGTCACAACTCAATGTGCCTGACCTGGACGAGGAGCATCTTCCACTGAAGTCACACCATTTGCAAACTTCCTACTCCATTCGTATACTTGCTGCTGTGACAAACATGCATCACCATACTGAAACTTCATTCTTTGATAAATTTCAATAGGTTTCACACCTTCACTACACAAAAACAGAATAACAGAACGCTGTTCTTCCCTGGTGCAGTCTTATGTGGGGCAGCCATCTTATACTGGTGCTGTGACAGTGTTCATGCATCTGCACTATGCTGCAACCTACAGGCCATTCTGCACGCTGTTTGTAGCACGCTTACCAACTTACAGGACAATGGTGCGAAATTTCGATTTTTATTACAAATTTAAGGTTTTCATTTGACTCACCCTCGTAAAATATATTCAATTTACATCTTGCTTACATTCTAAGTTCAATCTCAACTGACTAACCAGTCCTAAGAACTTTATTTTTGTTCTTGTATATTTTAAGCATTTATAATTCACTAAGGAGGGAAGAACTGTTGTAAGATTTTAATTTAATTTGCAATATCCAAGAATCTTGTTAGATCAACAAAATGTATATGAATAGAGCAACTAGTACAGTGATGCTTTTACAGTTCATAATGGGCTAAAAATTGGGATGATTTATTTCCATCACTTCTTATTTTTGCAAGCTTTATGGGGTTGAGAACATAACTGACCAATATGTGCTGGTTTGATTGTGTTCAGAGCAGCTTCTGCTTCTTCCAGAGCTGGTTTAGCTGCCTCAAGTTTCTGCTCAGCTCGAGCTTTTTCTGCTGATATGTATTTTACCAATGCTTCTGCCTTTTCTTTTACTTTCTGCACTTGATTTTTCACTGTCTCTGCTTGCATTGCTCTCTCTGTGACTTCTATCAGCACCTATAACATTTAAAATTCATTATATAGTCCAATGTGCCTGAATTTTTCATTGACAGAACAAGCAGATAATCTAGAAATCATGATCGTAACTTCTCATGATAATTTCTAGACAGCTGTCAATTTATACTTCATACTCTGAAGGTGCTGGTTTCAAAAATCAGCTCAGACTCTGGCCATCTTTTTCACAATTTTCTTTAGCCCATCCATGCAAATGCTGTTACAGTACCTTAAAATAGATCATAGCTAATCCCACATCATTTCACACTTACAATTTGCAAATAATTTCATCATTTGATGCCACATGATCTATTCAGTTGTAACATATCACAGTTGCCAAAGCAGATTTTTGTTTGAACCAGGGATAAAACCTACAATTCTCCAAATACAACAAATTACTGTTATTTGGGACAGTAACCAGGTGAGACATTATGACATAAATGCAAATTGTGTACCTTGTGTCACCATTTACACCATAAAAAATGTAATACACTTGGTCGTTGACTTACAACCTATGTGACTTACGATTGGCCGCACTTACAACCACAAAAAAATGAAAAATAAAAGATTATTAAAATGTAAAAGATTTTAAAAATAAATTATAAAGATGATAAAAAGATTAGAAAGGTTAAAAATACTGTTTTTTAATGCTAGTGGGGTGGGACTAAGTCCCTCGTACTGCGGCCACTTCTGGCGTATTGTACCAGCCCCAGATGATAGGTGAGGGTGATTGTGGAGCAATTGGTGGAATGAAGATTGGCAGGGGAAACCGAAGTACTCAGAGAAAACCTGCCCCAGCGCCACTTTGTCCATCACAAATTCCACTTGACCAGACCCGGGATAGAACCTGGGCTGCCGTGGTGGGAAGCCAGCAGCTAACCGCTTGAGCTATGGTGCGGCCCAAAAAATACTGTTAATAAATATATGGCCGACATACGACCAGATCAACTTATGACCTGTCAGTCAGAACAGAAGTTAGTTGTAAGTCGACAACCAAGTGTATATTATTTTTAAAAACTTTAATATATTTACAAATATGTTTTACTTGTTCACTTATTTATTTGCAAAGAAAGAAATATAATGTGTTTCAACATTCTATATATGTCATAATATTGTGACATGTTGCGCAATGGAGGACACCCCCCTCCCACCCCAGCGGTACGTGGCGGCATCGGAACGCTGTCTTTACTATGGTAACAGGCAAGTCAACACCCCGCCCCTCTCCTCGCGGTGACGGAACATGGCGCCAGGCAACAGTGGTGCCTATTACGTGGCTGTTTCCTGTGTTGTCCGGAACGAGGCTAAATAAGGAGCAGCGAAGACTATTCACAGTTTAGTTTATGAGACAGTTACAAGTTAGCTGGGCAGTCAACCTTTCAGCTGTAGTCTAGCCTTCACAGGCCAAGTAATTGTAATACTGCAGATAGCAGTAGTTGTGAGATTGTAAATTGTGTGATGGTATGAGCGAGTGTGGAATAAAATTTGCTATATCAAATACGGCATGAAATTATTTGTCGCGTTATACACCCAACACCTGACAATATTTTATCAATAATCACAAAATTAAGATATATTATATGACATACTTGACAGCTATTTAAATACAGAGAACATTTTGTGGTCATCTATCTGGCAAATATAACTATAAACTTAAATCTTTAATTGAACATATGAGGGGTTGTCTTACAGGTCAGTTATCTTGTGTGCCAGTATTTGTGTATGGTATATTTAAACCAGAACCAGAGTTATATTTCTTATGGATGGGATTCCCTGTACAAATGTTGCAGGTGCAGAAACATTTAGTCAGTATTAATCGCTGAAACTAGTCTAGCAGACAACAAAGGAGGGTGACAGGAATTAAAAATTCAGGAACATATGTAAGGGAGTTGCAGTGAAACATACATTTTCAGCCTTCTCTGAAGCCTGGGCAAGCTCTTGTTCCATAATTGCCAGTTCCTTCTTAAGGATTTCAACAGAACAGGAAGCCTCCTCCAATTTTGCGAGTCCAGTGTCCATTCTCTGAGCCCCATCATTCAGTTCCTTTTGCTTCTGCTGGTATATATTTTTATATCCACCAATAAAATTGAGGTATGATTTTGGTGTTACATGAGTAGCACGACGGAATCTATAAATAATAAGAAAATTTGCGTATTACTTGGATATTATGTGAAATAAAGCATGATATTTTCATGTAACAGAGTTACTATAGACAGGTTTTGGATTGATGACTCGATTTATTGCACACTTTGATACTTCATGTGACTACACTTTACAGTTCACTATTACACACACAACAGTGCCTACATTCACACTTTTACTGCTGCTGCTTGGTAGCAGTTTCAATACAGGCGTTCCCCCTCTCTGGTTTCCTGAACTCTCCCTGGCCTCATTTACCAGCTTCTAACAGCAGCAGTTCACAACAACTGAACCCCAGCAGGTCTCCAACTGACTGCAACTCAAAGTCCAAGCCAAAGTCAAAGTCAAAGTTATATATTATGACTGACAGTCAGTCGGCCAGTCTGTCTTGATGTCGAGCCCCCAACTGGGGCCAAAGACCAGATTTTTGCTACTGTCAAATAGTTGCAGGTTTGTTAATGTGGGGCACCCTCATTGACAAGAGGACAGGTCTGTTGTTTACAATTTCTGTTGGTTCTCACCAGTGCAGTCATTCTTGGGTCTGAGTCCCCAGATTTATATCACCCAGGAAGAGGATGGCACAGTTATACTCCCAGGCACTGGGTACCATTTCATCGCCTCCTATGACTAACAGGGATACAGTGGAGGTATGTGAAACTTCCTCCATGTGGGGAGACTGAAACTGCTAACTGGTCCTGCTTATAACATGTCAGCACAGGCCGTGCAGAAGATGTCTCTTCCATTATTGCTGTATTCTTTTGCTGCCATAGAAACATATTTATTTGTGGAGCCATTACTTAGCAATGTTGTGTAGCTGCTTGTTTCGCACTTGTTATCCATCATTGGGTCTACATGCAACAATATGAATAGTTGATTTTGCGTAGCAAACATGTATTTTCTGCAGGGTACTAAGAAATGAACAAGAAAGGATCAAATCTGTAACCAGAACATTAGGCAAGATCTGAAATACAAACATTATGAAAAAAAGTTGGTGAAATTAATTTTACATTGGTATGAACATATGGTCAAATTATTAAAGATGCAGACATGAGAATGAAGGTAAATGAAGTAATCCAGTATAACAAAGTAAGATTCAGTATTTCTGTGTCATTTTACTTATAACCCAGCCTTCTCTCTTTCATAGAATGAATAAATAATTTAAATGTCAGAGCCAATTCCAAACTATTTAAAATGTTTTAAGAATGACAATAAATATGTACCTCTGAAAGTATTCTGCTGATACAGATGCAACAGCAGCTTGGATGCTTCCCAGAGCTGAGACTAATTCATTCTTCACTTTCAGGGCACATGCAATTTCAAATTCAGCTAAGAAATGTTTTGCCACCAACACCAATGCATCCTTTGGCCATGGCTGGAACCAGTCAATGGTACAGCCTGAAATGAGGGCTGGGAACCTCATGGCTCGGTTACGGAATTTCTCACCCACCTGAAATAAGCAGATGAACGTTTTTCTAGATCCTACAGAAATAAGCTCCTCCATTTATGCAATTACAGATTTTTCTGAGAAATAATTCTTTTTATATGCAGAGGAAAGTATGAATACCACTGTGTATTAATGTTTCAATTATAAATTGTACTGACTGAACTCCCCTCTGTTTTTACTAAGATTATCACCTATATATAGGTCATTAAAGTTGATAACTATCAATTTAGAATCATTACTATTATATTTCAATGCATACGCATGCCACTGCAAAATTTACAACTTCAATTTTTTGTTGTGAATTTCATATCAGTAACCAGCAATAGTCTATGAAGCAACAGTTAATTTCATTTCCAAGATAGCATAGCCAAGGTCAGCTGCATAAGAGAAGGTATGTGCAATGTCTTTGTACAATTCTCTTTTGCAAGAGAATGTTTCACTTTCATGAATATGTGAAGTTGAGAGCAGCACTTTTCCATGGGAGATAACTTTGATAAGTCCTTCTGTAAATTACTCACCCAAGTCCTTGAGTAATGAACTTCAAAAACCTAATTAATTATATAATGAAATACAAAATCACTAAATTCAAACCAGTAAAGTATGTAATATATATAGCCCCTACAACAGTACAAACATATAGTAAAGTCTGTGTAGGTAAACATTTGTCTGATAAACTTCCTATCCAGAATGGTCTAAAACAACGAGATGCTTTATTGCCACTCCTCTTCAACTTTGCTTTAGAATATGCCATTGGGAAGGTCCAGGGAAACCAGGTGGGACTGAAATTAAATGGAACACATCAGCTGTTGGCCTATACCGATGATGTGAACCTACTTGGTGATAATGTAGATACCATAAAGAAAAACACACAAACTTTAATTGATGCAAGTAAAGAGGTTGGTCTAGAAGTAAACACTGAGAAAACTAAGTATATGTGGCTGTCTCATCACCAAAATGCAGGGCAAAATCATGATATAAAGATATGAAACAGATGTTTTGAAAATGTGGCACAATTAAGATATTTGGGAACAATGATAACAGATCAAAACCTGATTCAGGAGGAAATTAAGAGGAGATTGAACTCAGGTAATGCTTGCTACCATTCAGTCCAGAACCTGCTGTCTTCTCGTCTGCTGTCCAAAAACATAAAAATTAGAATATACAAAACTATAATTTTGCCTGTGGTTCTGTATGGGTCTGAAACTTGGTCTCTGATATTAAGGGAGGAACATAGACTGAGGGTGTTTGAGGAGAATATCTGGACTGAAGAGAGATGAAATGACAGGAGGTTGGAGAAAACTGCATAACGAGGAGCTTCGTAACTTGTACTCTTATCCAAGTATAATTAGCATGATCAAGTTAAGGAGGATGAGGTGGGCAGGGCATGTAGCACGAATGGGGGCAGCGAAGAATGCATATAGGATATTGGTGGGAAAACCTGAAGGAAAGAGACCACTGAGAAGACCAAGGCATAGGTGGGTGGACAATATTAAAATGGATCTTAGAGAGATAGGATGGGATGGTATTGATTGGATTGATCTGGCTCAGGATATGGACCAGTGGAGCGCTCTTGTGTACGTGTACACGTAGTAAAGAATAGCAGCGGCACACACACAGAAAGATTACACAAGATAACACCTATACAGTGTGGTAACAAGAACTAGCCGCTGCAGCACTTTAAACATAGGGTGAATAACCCTAACAATTTTAAAAATTTTAAAATTTAGGAAAGAATTTTAAAGGTTTTTAAAATTAGAACTAAAGATTTTATTATAGTGCTATTACAACAAAGTCAAAATTAACGTGTGTAAGATAAAATAATTTACAAACCAGACAGTTATCAATGAAGTAGAAGTTGATAATAACAAGGAAAGTGTTTTTAAATGTTAAATTTTGAGCTGGGTGCAGTGTGACAGCGACGTCAGTGTTATACACCTGATGATGGCCGTCTGAGGCTGAAACATGTAGTGTAGGGGAAAAAGATCAAAGACACAAAATATATTGTTTGCACTTGAGATGGAGTTTTTATCATTATATCATTTAAGAAGTACTGTGTTCCTATAAAACAGTGGACACTGATGTTCTGGCAGATACTTACTGGGGAGAAACAGAAAACAACATGCAAGTTGTTACAAGTGCGTGTGAGGAAATATTCCATTACTAGCTCATGAGTCAGGCTACGCTTTGGGTTCTCCCGCTTCATGATAGGTGTCAGCTCTGAGATAATTTCCAGTTGCTCATCTCGTGTGAACAGGTTTGATATCACACCTGTAGCATACAAATCAAATTTTGTTTACTCTAATATCAATAACCCAGCATTGTGTATTCAGTAACTTAATTCATGTATACACGTTTTTTTTATGATAAGGACAGCAGAAATCATAAATAAATAATTAAACAAATTTTGATCCCACTCTATGTATAATTTCTATTAGTGCAGTTCCCATTGTATGAGTATTAAATTTGTAGATGCAACCTTAATGCCATCATACCACTTTGATGAGTTCATAAAATTTGTTTTTCACCTGAAGACAGAATGTTGTTGAGATATTCAAGAAATCCTTCTTCCTTTATGTCCAAGTCAGTAAATATGAAAGTAGTGCCTTTCCCCTGAATACCACAGCTTCGGTAAAGCAGCTTCAAATCTTCCAGAAAGTTGGCTGAATTGTATGACCTTCAATGAAGAATAAACTTCTTAGCAGGTACTGAACAAAATGAATGTTAGATATAACATGAGAGTCCATGATGTGTATGTATTGACCGTCTTCTGGTGCACACAATCTCACTTGTCACTTCACTACATGTTTCGGCACCACTGTGCCATCCTCAGGTGTGTTATTTACGTTAAACTATTGCACTGCTCGCCATCATGTGTCATTTATAAAATGATTTAAAATGTATATTCGTCATGTACTATAATAAAATTTATATATTAAAATTTTGTTAAGATTTATCATCTTATACATCATATTTCAAACTCGCGTATTATATCAATCTTCCGCTATGGGAGTCATTCTTCCTATATTTTGTGTATACTGCGTCTTGTGATATCACAAGATGATAAATCTTAACAAAATTTTATTATAGTACATGACGAATATACATTTTAAATCATTTTACAAATGACACATGATGGCGAGCAGTGCAATAGTTTAACATAAATAACACACCTGAGGATGGCACAGTGATGCCAAAACATGTAGTGAAGTGACAAGTGAGATTGTGTGCACTAGAAGACAGTCAATACATACACATCACGGACGTGAATCAGTGCAACAGGATGCTAAAATACAACATTATAACATGAGAGCTTTTAACGTTCACAAAGGCTCGCCACCAAATCCTATCCTGAGCCAGCTGAATCCAGCTAACAGCTTTATACCACATTTCTTGAGAATCCATTTCAAAATTATCTTCCCACCTCTCTTTCTCTTTGCTATTGCATCTGTATCAGATGTGGTGCCCACCCATTCTTCTGAAGGCAAAGAGACTGAAATGTGAAGCAGATTACTCAACTCCATCTAGTGCCAAAGTTAAGAATGTGTGAAGCTATACTTTGACTCTCCCATATGTCCTCATGGCATGGTGCTTAATCAAGCACAGGGACAATTTTATCTCTAACTTCTAGTTACATATGTTGTTCAATGTGAAATTCTATACTCCCTTCTGCAGCAACATAACACAGGCCAGACAGGTTCCTACATATCCTTCATTTCTTACAGTTCACAGACAGAAGCGATGAAGTCTGATATTTTCACCATGGTGAAAATTTACATTGTAGTATTCTGGGCTGACATGAAGTCTGTGGAAGGCGATTATGAAAATTGCAGAGGAATAAGTTACCTCCATCTTCAGGGAACTATGGTAAAACTTACCAGATTAAATTATGTCATAACCCAGCAGAACACAGTCTTGTGAAGAAATGTGACTGACAAAAGGAACAAAATTAAGTCAGAAGGTCAGTTGGTTCGATTCCCAATGAGGTCACTGAATTTTTAAATTGACCAAACTCTCCCTGGAGCACTGTGGTCCTGGGGTCGACTCAGCCTTTAACAGAAATGAGTACCAGGAACCTTCCTGGTGGTAAAGGGCAGCCGGTGTGTAAAGTTGACAATCTCATGGCCATTTGTGAGCCGACTGTCTAGAAAATGTGAGAGCCTCAATGTCTCTGAACCCTATGGGCCTCCAAGGCCTGTTACAGGGTCTTACCTTTTTTTTTTATGACAGATTGTGTAAACTTAACGACATGAGTGAAATGCTGAACAATACAGACAAAAAATTGTACAAGTACTTTGAATATATAGCAATGGTATTTGTTGTATGGAGTCTCTTCCTTAAGATTTTCAACTAAAATCATATATACAATTCTTGTTTCCAACATAAAAGCACATCGGTATCCTACTTGCTTCATCTTACTTCACTTAATTACACTAACAATATTAAGCAAAAAGTACAAATTGTGATGATCTTAATTATGTAACTTTCTTCATTTCTTTGTCTTTTAATCTCTCTTAAGCCTAAATATTTTCCTTAGAACTTTATTCTTGAACAACATCAATTTACTAAATACAGTTCATTATATTTACAGATAAACCATAATTCAATATATATATATATACAGAGTGTAAATAAATATAAGTTACAGCGCTCTGTGGTAGATAGACGGGTTCAATCTGGTCATATTTTGTTAATACATCAATGTCTGGAAATGCTTCCTCCTGGCACTAAGGGCCACAAAATTTTCCAAGAGGATGCATACGCTTTAGTGGATGTTACTGTTGTTTTACATTGTAAAAGTTACTCAAAATGGCGGCCATTGACTTCACTGCATATTCTACACCACCTGGCCATGTTATGATGAACTCTTTGAAATATCCCCAGTATTTCCTGGATGGTTCCAGCTGCTACTGTAATTCTTGCCACAAGATCATGTTGTGTCTCCAATGAAGTCTCGTAGCTTTGCATGTAGCCTCCCATAAAGAGTCAAGTCAGGGGAAAGAGGGGGCCAGGTTCTTGGACCTCCACATCCAATCCATCTGTTGCCAAAGGTTTCATCCAAATACTCACGGACAACTGTGTGCCAGGGCACCATCATGCTGGAACCACATTTCTTGATGGACTTCCAAAGGCACCACTTCCTACAGCTCGGTTAAGTCTCTTGGAGAAATGTTAGGTAAATGTCACCAGTAAGCCACAGACGTAAGAGGTAAAGGTGTCCTCCTTCATATTACAGAGGCCCTAGCGCGTAAAAAAAGTGTTTCCGAACATGGGTGTACTAACAAAATACGATCAGATTGAACCCATCTATCTACCACAGAGCGTTGTAACATATATTTATTTACACCCTATATATATATATATGAACTTCATTCATTATACATAATTAAACAAATTAAATGATGTTTTGCTCCAGTACAAAACCTTACAGGGCAATTTCCTTTTACTCATATTATTGTAAATGAAAAATATTTATGTTGGATTTACTGCAGTAGTACCATGAACATCAAAATATTCTGCCTGCATATTTTCTGAAGTCAGTAGACACATGACTAAGTGACTACAGAAACTATGCATATTCAACAGGAAGCCATGTCACATTGTTTTGCCACTGTGAAATTTATTTGCAGTAAAAAATGATGCTGCCACTATAGTCTACTAGTATTGCAGTGTAAAAAGCATAAATGTAGCAACATAATTCTCTTGAGAACAGGATCTGTATGTGGTTGAAAGATCTGATGTTTTTGCATTTGGTTGTCTTTGTGGTATTATTACACGGGTATTATGAATGTCATACTTTTGTACGTATTTCATCATGTGATATGTAATGTATAGGGAGGTCAATTTGGAAATGGATTCAAGTAAATGTGAAATATGAAATGTTAACCCTTACTGCTCAGCATCTGGCAAATATAACCTACAAAGATAGGAAACTTATCTCTCAATGTAAGTTTCCCTGTGGACAGGACAGATATTAGAGGAGGTCGTTTTTTCCCCACATATCTTACAGCACCTCTGTTATAATTTGCATATTTTTTTTTTATTGCTGGTGGTGTCGGACTAAGTCCCTTGTACTGTGGCCACTTCTGGCCTATTGTACCAGCCCCAGATGATAGGTGAGGGTGATTGTGGAGCAATTGGTGGACTGAAGATTGGCAGGGGAAACCGAAGTACTCAGAGAAAACCTGCCCCAGTGCCACTTTGTCCACCACAAATCCCACTTGACCAGACCCGGGATCGAACCCGGGCTGCTGCGGTGGGAAGCCAGCAACTCACCACTTGAGCTAAGGCGCGGCCTTAAAAATCTTACAGCGCCTGGAATCGAACCTGGACCATTGGATCTGTAGCCAAGAAAGCTGACCGCTATACCACAGAGGTAGTCGATTTGCATCACAGTCCTGTTTACATAAAGTTTGGATTCACTATAGCTATTATGGGAAAATTCTCAAGTACTACTGGACAATGCATTTACACATTGCACAGGGTCCGGCAAATTGACCTCCCGTATTTCGAGATGGTGCTGTGTGAGTTGTGGTGGGGATACGGCGGCGGAGGGGGTATCGATCGATAGCGGTATGTGCCATTTGCAGTAGTTGCAATGGCGTGGCATGGTGAGCATCGTGCGTTTGTTGTGGAAGAGTATATTCATAATGGTGAATCGGTGATTACTACTCAGCAAGCATTTCGCATTCGGTTCGAACTTGGCCGACATGATCCTGTTCCGGATAGAAAAACTATTCACGTTTGGGTATCAAACTTTAGAGCAACAGGTTCTGCACTGAAAAAGAAATCGCCTGGCCGACCTCGGACCGTAACAACGCCGGAAAATGTGGCGTGTGTGAGAGCGTCCATCCAGCAATCTCCAAAGCGTTCAGCACTTAAACATGCAGCTGCCCTGGGATTGTCTGATAGGAGTGTAAGAAGAATCCTGCACAGAAATCTACACATGCACCCATACAAAATGATGGTTACCCAAGAATTAAGTGAGAGAGATTTTGAAACTCGCAAAGCTGCATGTGAGGACATTCTTCAGAACATTCCCTCTGGCGCTGTTTTGATTTCATCTGATGAGGCCCACTTCCACTTGTCAGGTACTGTAAATAAACAAAATTTCCGCTACTGGTCAGCAGAAAACCCTCAGGAACTTCACCAACGACCACTTCACAGCCCTCGTGTGACAGTTTGGTGCGCCGTTGCTGAATTTGGTGTGTGGGGTCCTTATTTTTTCGAGGAAAATGGGCTAACGGTAACGGTTACTTCGAATTGCTACTGTCACATGATCGAAACCTTCCTCTGACCATGAAGAGGGACAAGCCTGGTTCTAACAAGACGGAGCCACAGCTCACACTTCGCGGCGTTCTTTAGAAATTCTGAGAGAGTTGTTTCCTGGACGTCTTCTCTCTTTGTGAGGAGACATCGCCTGGCCCCCAAGGTCACCCGATTTATCAACTTGTGATTATTTTCTTTGGGGACACCTAAAGGCGCAAGTGTACAAACATCGCCCCACAACCCTGCAAGCACTTAAGGAAGCAACCACCCAGGCAGTGGCTGCCATTCCACCGGAAAGGACACGAAGAACTATGGACAACTTCCGGGAAAGGCTTTGTCAATGTGTGAACAATGGAGGACGCCATTTACCAGAAATAATTTTTAAAACCAAGTAATGTAAAATAGCATCGTATTTGTTGATCACAAATAAAAGTATTTTTTCTGTATCTTTCTTTGTTTGTTTGTAACTGCCTTTTGAAATACGGGAGGTCGATTTGCCGGACCCTGTATATGGTATGTTAACCTCCAGGGACAGCCTCTTCGGGCTCTCCCAGGGACTCACAATCCTTGCAGCCCAAAGAGCTGATGCATACATCCAGTGATGTTTATTGCAAACATTTCCTTATGTAATCATACTTGGGAACTTTCTGCACATTACATACATTGCAAAACTCATATTGAAACAGTGTCAAACACTCAAATTTCATGCAGCACAGGTCACACTGTGCTACATGTGATGCATTTGGCGCCATCTTTAGAATTCCTAAGAATCACAAGCCACACTTGTGAAATATCACATAACCAAGTCCATGTTTTAATAAAATATATGCAACAGATGAGCAATGTACCATTTATTTCTTTGCTTTCATGTTTTACTTCTATTCGTACCCAAACAGATAATTCTGTATGTTGCACAGTATAGTCTCCATCTTGTGCCTCTGTGTTAATATGAATGTATGCTCCTCTCATAGCACTAGTTTTATATTCATTATAATTTTAATAATAAACAAGTGCAATTTGGAAGACAGAATAAGATCCACTTGTCTTCTATCAGCATTACATCCAAAGCTTCAATTTGTACTTAGTTTATTCACTACCGTGTCAGAGTAATCTGGAATGTCTTGTAGCCAGCAATGAAAGACGACAACTTGGTGAGGGACTGTTTTCCAGAGCCCCCAACACCTACTAACATTACATTTCCTCTTGGATGGCGAATCACTCGGGATATCTGCAAGCAATATATATTTAGCAATTTTAAATGTGAAAAGTGAAAATTCAGAGGTTCTTAAACAGGCTTTCATCAAATTAAGTTACGTCACTTGAAATAATAATAAAAGCGAATATAAACCTTGAAAAATATTCTATCCCTTTTAATTCTACTCCTCCTCCTACCCCTTCCTGTCAGATATAGTTCATTTCCTTAATGACGGGATAGCACAGCCAGTATAGCAACTGGCTATGGGCTGGATGACTGAGGGGTCAGAGTTCAAGTCCCAGTAGGATCATGATTTTTCTCCTCTCCATGTCCTCCAGAACGGTTCTAGGGGCCACCCAGCCTTCTATCCAATGGATACTGGTGGCTATTTTCCTGGGGACAAAGCAGTCAGGCCATGAAGCTACCCACTGACCTCCAACTAGTACCAAGGCCAAGAATATGTGGATCTATACATCCATTCCCTTATACATCTTCATGGCATATTGCTTCGTTAGTTAAGTACAGGGACAACTTCACCTTTACCTTAGCGTAATTCTTAGTTTATTCAGTATGCTTGATTACTATTAATTTAGAACTGGTATCATATACAGTTAGTGAGAACAGAGGAACTTGTATACTGTGAATCCACATAATCATATCATTTATCATAATGCTATTTAATGGGCAGAGTTACTGTAAGCTCCACAAGACATTAGCTGCCATTTCACAGTGTACATAATTTGCTTAGGAGTTTAAGTGAGATACAACACACCAGACAGTAGTTCTACACTCTATTCTAATTCCTCTCAAAGGAACTTTCAAAATTGTCCATGAGCATCAATGGCAATGGTGATTCATATTACAATATTATATTTAAGCATCCTGTTACACTCTACACCCATATAATATATGACACAAACTCCGTCCTAAGTGTAACAATTTATTGTAGTTCTTTCGTCTTCCTTTCTTCTACATTACATGTTTCAGTCATAAATGGCCATCATCAGGTGTATACTCTCATGTAGCTCACTTAGGATGGAGTTTGTGTCATATATTATATCATATTACAATATTGCAACTGGTTTTCATTTTTTGAAAAAAAAAAATATATAACACCATGGAGATAAAGTAATCATTAATTGTTGTAGTTGCTTCCTTTTTGCATAATGTCTATTATTAGAATAAAAATTTCCTTCAAACTGACATTGAAAATTGTAGTCACAATGCAAAATATTGATATCAATGACAAAACTGGCAAAAACATGATTCTGAACAAAGTCCAGGATTTCCAGGCCACTCACAAAAGTCACCAAAACTATGAAGCTACACGAGTCACTGGTGCCTACAACACATGTTATACACAGTAAATATTTTAAGAGAAGACTTTTTAAAACACAAACTGTATCATGTATGGATAACAGTTCAGTATGCCACTACTATTGCATACTGTATCTTAAATAAAATCTCAACAATTATCACAAACCATGCATTTAGAAACAAAGGAACATCTCAGAGTTGTACCCTAGTGTACCAAAACAAGGGATATCCATAAGTGAATACTCCCAAAACTTCTGTTTCACTTCTTTGAATGAAAGCTAGGACACAAAATCACATCAATAGATGGTACGTTACTGCAAAAAGTACATCAGTTGATCACTACTCATTCCATGAATATAAATTTAATAATACCAAAAATCCATTTTTACTGCTTTGGAAACACGCAAGTTTTAAGGTATATCACAGTTAATAATCATCTATGTTTCTAGAAATAATTTAATCAAATATGAATCTTATAATCTTTTTATTTGTGAATGAAACTTGGCAGCTCATGTATTTTAACAACAATTTAATAAAAAGTTTCAGTGCATAGTCAAGTACGAGGGGGTACCCAAAAGAAAATGAACTTATTTTTTTAAACTTATTTATTCAAATTTTAAGCACAAACTTTCAATCCCCTTCAAAGTACTTTCCACTTACACTAATACACTTGTCTAGTCTTTTATTCCATTTTTCAAAACATTGTCTAAATTCATCTTTTGAGATGCTTGACAGCGCCTCCGTCGTTTTTTCCTTTCATGTCTCTTTTCATTCGAGGAAACAAAAAACAGTCGCACGGGGCAAGGTCGGGTGAGTATGGAGGGTGAAGAACAGGGGTCATACCATTTTTGGTCAAGAATTGTGGTACAGACAGGGCTGTGTGAGCAGGGGCATTGTCATGATGGAAAAACCAGTCACCCGACTGCCACAAATCTGGCCACTTCCGCCACAAACTGTTGCATAATGGTCCATCGTCGATCTTCCTTGATGATTTCACGAATTTTTTCAACATTTTCATGTGTTTGAGCCTTGGAAGGACGACCAGAACGAGGTTTGTCATCAATTGACATTTCACCATTTTTGAAATGGAAAAACCACTCAAACACTTGAGTTTTCCCCATAGCATCGTCCTTGTACGCCGTTTTTAACATTTCAAGAGTTTCTGTTCCACTTTTCCCTAGCAAAAAGCAGAATTTCACCGCTGCACGCTGTTCAAGAAAATCAGCCATTGCAAAAACGACGATCACACAAAACAGTTGTCACTATAAACTCTGCCGAAACTAGTCCTTACCTTCTGAAGCAACGGTGGTCGGCTTATCGACTCAGGAATGTTAGCTCTATGCGCTCATAGTGGCAAAACGCGGTACTACAAAAGCTCTGCCCACAAAAAAATTAGTTCGGTTTATGTTGGGTACCCCATCGTATATAAAGCAACTTATGTAGTTAAGAAAGAATTGTTATGTTAACATATAAATAAAAATGTATAATTTATTCTGACCTTCACAAGATGCAGCATGGCATCTGGGAAGAAGACAAGGTCCATCCCAGCTCCCCGAACCATCTCATTGAACTGTGAGAGAAACATTTCCATCCGCTCCCTCAATTCATTCCAGTCTGGAACTGGCTCATATACTTTGGGCAGCTCCATATCAGCATCTTCTCCCTCTTCTCCTGTGGGCTCTGGGGCATCCCTGTTTTTTGGGATAACGCAGGTGTTGTGAGTCATTAAGAGAACATTTCTTTCTAGTGGCAGGAGATATAATAAATATAACTGTATTATAATTGTATGTTCATACATATGTAAAATGCCTACATTCACTTGCTTCATATACTGTCCTACATACACATAACACAAGAAAGTCCAGAAACATGATACTTGATTGTGGGATAATCATGAAGCCATAGAGAAATGTAAATATTTTTAGAAAGAATTATTTATGCATTATTTTACAATATTAATACATGGTTCAGAACCAATCTGCTAAAATTAAATATTCATAAAACCCACACTCTCCATTTCACTTTAATGAACTATGAGGATCATAATATGCATAATAATATTGATCAAAATTTACCAACTAACTTAGAGTGTATTAAATTTTTAGGCCTAAATATTGATAATAGGCTGTGTTGGAAGTATCATATTGATTACCTGGTTACAAAATTGAGTTCGTCTTGCTTTCTCATGAGATCAGTTAAGCCTATGATATCATTAAGTAGCTTAAGAATGATTTATTTTGCTTATATACATTCTGTGATGACATATGGAATTATCTTCTGGGGCAATTCTTCATACATGACGAAACTTTTTATGATCCAAAAGAAAATTATAAGGATTATGATGGGATTAAAGAAAAGAGATTCATGTAGAGACTCTTTCAAGGAAATGAAAATTCTGCCTTTGTGTTCACAATACATATATTCCTTAATGCAACACACTATAAATAACATACTGTAACATGTTTGCAATCCAGAAGAGTCACTGCTATGGAAACGCTAGAATAGACCGTTACAGAGGAGACAACAATTGCTCCATTGTAGTTCTAACAGGAGTCTCCATGGTTATAACAAAGGGTTCGTTGTCTAACAGCGGCTAAGTTTATAAAAAAGCCCAGTTTCGACGAGAAGTCTTCAGTCTTCATCGGGCCAGCTAAGAGGCCAGTCGTGATCGAGCCATCTGGGAAGTCAGTCTTGGGATAACCGCCAGAAGAGACAGTCCAGCATCGCCGAGTTATTGTAAGCAGTGATTGTGACACTGCAGACGGGAATGATTGTAAAGTGTGTGTAAACGAGCGAAGGAATAAACTCGCTATGCCAAACGATGGCGTGAACTTATTTGTAGCGTGACACACCAAACACGCTACAATACATTTGTTCACAAGGAATATGGAGGTTCATAACATTGGTACCAGACAAAATGTTAACCTATTTCCCTCGAGTACTTCTCTTACTAAAGTTCAAAAGGGTCCATATTATTCTGGTATAAAAATCTACAATCATCTGCCTAAAGAGCTGAAACAATTATCTAATAACCAGAAATCCTTTGAACGTTCCCTAAAAAGATTTTTACATGCTAACTCTTTTTATGCATTAAATGAGTATTTTAATTACAAAGGCACATAAATTTGAATGCTTAACACCACATTTTAATATAGTTGGTAAGGGAGATGTGAGGAGTTGTATTGTGGTTACTTGTGACTTATGTNTCCTGGGTTTGTTCCCTGTATGGATGTTTATGGAAAGTGGAGGATGTGTATGTATGTATATGACGAGTCCTGTATCAATGTATTTTGATTTATGGGAAAATTATATTAATTTTAAGTTTTTATAGTAATGCACTTTTTAAATTATGTTTAGTTACAATTGTAATAAGCTCTTGTTTTGTTTTTTTATATTACCTATGTTAGTTAACTGGTGTGTGTTCTTTTAGTTGTGTGACTTATGTAATCTATTACATGTATACATCTATAATCAAATGGACTATTTCCACATCCTAGGATTTTTGCCTGTATGGATATATGGAAAATAAAGGAAATGAATGAATGAATCTGTCACTGAACCCAACCACTTTTAAAATAAAAATAATATAAGTTAGTGAAATATCTTCATATAGTATTGTTGCTGGTGAAGACTTAATTATTTGAAAGCTTGAAGATATAATCTTGATGACTAGGCCACAAATATGTTGGTATTTTGTGACATCCAAGAATAATTTAAATTTAAGACATACTCATAACTCACTTCCAACTAGTGCTGAGGTCAAAAGTGCATGGATCTATAAATCCACTCCCCTTACAACTTCATGGCATAGTGCTTAATTAATATGACATTTCAGCATCCTATTACACTGATGTATCTTTTATAGTCTCTTTCTTTTCCGTCTATAATGCAACAAATTAATAACATTAATTCATATTAATTCATTCAATGATCGTTAAATGTATAAACTGTTATTAAAATTATTACAATATTAAAATATATATACCTATGTTGTTATGCTGTTACATGTTTCGGCCTTACAAGGCCATCTTCAGGGAACACTTATTTAGGGATTATAATTCACTGTACGCTAATAATATAGTATTCCCAAGATACATCGTCAACATTCCTTATTATCTTTTTGATCTTTTTTGAAACGCAGCTGTTTCCCTGAAATGTACAACACATGTTATTAATATAATTTGTTTTTAATGTTTGGTTATACTATCTTTGTGTATCTAGATGTTGTATTTTATATAGACGGAAAAAAAAGACTATAAAAGATGGTGCTTAATTAGTTAAGCACAGGGACAACTTTACCTTTTATCTTTGCTCATAATGTTTCTATACACTATAATGTCTAGTTGTAATAATTATTTTTTTGAAAAATTAAAAGAAAGTCTGCATTTTATAGGGGTGACACATTTTTGTTTTTCTGTGACAAAAATATTGGTAAGAAAAAGATACTGCCACATATTTTAGACATAACTGCTGTCACCTGGCTGTACTATGGACTTCGTTGTGCCCATTAACAGAGATTCTGTCATACAAACAAATTGTAATATACAACAATACAGTAAATGATATCCAAATTACTTACATCTAAAGAATGCCTCATAACTGCTACAAGAAGGTACAATTTAAGTGTCCCTCACTCATTGCTTGGATAATGCATGTTGCTGCTGACTCAACTGCACTGGTTAATAACTGGCAAAATGTCACACAGAAAATCAAATTCAAAACTTAAAAAGCACGATTTCCTTTACTATACATGAGGAGGCTGCAGAAACCCAGGGGAATGAAGCAGAAGAAACTTCAGCAGACCCATCCCTTAACTGTGCGGTGCTATTTAAAAGAGATCAACAACAGGAAGTTTGTATGTCAAACAGACAAAGGAGGCCCCCAGTAAAGCTAAGTAAAGATTTTTTGTAGATAAGCATAGTGCTGGTATCCTCAAGAATAATAATAATGTGACATGTTGACCCCTACCTCCCCAGCTGCACTTAGCGGTAACGTAACGCTCGCGTAATAGGCGAGTAATCACCCCGCATCCTGGCAGCTATGCAACGCGCAATGCGCGGTGACGTCACGAGCAGAGCCGAAGAGAGCCGAGCCCCCGCAACCTCTATGCAATGCGAGTCAACAGCGGTGACGTAACAGGATGACGTGGCACTCATTACGCAACAAGCAAGCACTGCAGCTATATAAGTGAGCTGCACAGTGGCTGCGAGTTAGTTGTACTGTAACAGTCGCCGAGTCGGGTCGTAAAGTCAGCCAGTCAGTTCGTTACCAACGAGTTCTCAGTTCGCAAGTTACGAGCTACAGACGCGTGTGTCATAACCAGTGATAACCAGTTATATCTGGAGTGTGTAATTCAGGGAGACTTGTATAGCTCCCGCGTTATTAGTACGTGAAGACAAGTGAAGATCGTGTTAAGAGATTTTGTTGTAGGGTTTGTAAAGTGTGGAAACCCATAATATTGTGATAATTAATTGTAGCCGTTATTTGTAGATTGTTAAATAAACCAATTAACCATCTCTACGGCGTCTTCGGTAACATAACACGTTACAATAATAAAGTCAATGCAAACATTCAGAAATTCTATCAAAACGTGCAAAGTCTAAATAATAAAAAGCTAAATAGGGATGTACTACTAACAGATAAAGCACTAGAAATAACTGAAAAATCATACATAAAAGACTTTTATCATTTTTGAATAATCACAGCATAATTAACAATAAACAGCATGGTTTCTGTAAAGGGAAATCAACAAATACTGCAACTGCAGAGTTTATAGAAAGGGTCTACAAATCATTGGATGAGAGGCAAATAAGCATAGGGATATTTCTGTATCTGCCAAAGTCATTTGACTTAGTCGATTATGATATATTGCTAAGGAAGGTGACAAGAGGGGTTGCACTAAAATGGTTTTAATCATATGTAGAAAACAGGGAACAAAAAGTGGAAATTACATATAGATGTAAAGAAACTAATGAAATCACTAGCTGTCTATTGCGAAAGAGATCCATAAGACATGGAGACCCACAAGGTTCTGTTCTCGGATTAGTGTTGTTTTTGCTATATATCAATTATCTAGAAGCCGGCATTAAACATGGAAGACCAGCGTTTTTTGCTGACAATACTAGAATCCTTATAGCAGGAAATAGTGCTAATGATGTCCAAAGGAAAATAAATAAAACAATAAATGCACTCACAGAGTGGTTTGAAAGGAATAGATTAATTATTAATAAAGAAAAAAACAATAGCAATATCCTTTCATCAACCTCAAAAAGTGCAAGTCGAATGCCCATCAGTAAAGCTGTATGATCATCAATTATACAGAACATACAAAATTTTTGGGAGTTTGGCTGGATAAGAATCTAAGGTGGTCTGCACATACTCAACAACTAGCAAATCAATTATGTAAAATATGTTTTGCCTTATGAGTAGTCAAAAGAGTATCAGTGTTAGAGACTGTTTGCACCTTGTGTTACGCTTATTTTCAATTCTTGTTATTATATGGATTGATATTTTGGGGCAATTCAGGAAATGAAAAATTGATCTTTAGCTTGCAGAAGAGAGCTGTTAGAGCTATGATACAAATCCCAAAAACTATTAGTTGTAAACAACATTTTAAATTGTTACATATATTTCCTTTACCATGTCTGTATATATATGAAATTCTAGTTTACATAAAAACCAATTTGAATGTTTTCATAACCAATTCAGGAATACACTTGCACAATACAAGGAGAAAAAATGACTTGTTCATAGTGCCATGTAATATGAGTCTATACAAAAAAATTTCAATAATATTGGACTTCGTATGTTAAATCAGTTGCCACGATATATTAAAGAGATACCAGTACTATACAAGTTTAGACTTTGAAGACATTCCTCCTTGATCACTGTTTCTATAGTATAGACGAGTTTCTCTCGTTTGGAGACAAATCCTAGTCCTAATCACTTGTAAACATATATTTTAAGAATAATTAACTTGTAGATTTTAATATTAGTGCATGTTATAGGAATGCCTACTGCCCTGTTCTGTAATTTTTTTCTTACAGGAACGAGATTGAGGATACCAGGGTATTTTGTGCCAGGATAGAAGGATTGGGTCTTGAGGCATACAGGGGTGTCATGTGTTAGATGATTATATCAGTTCTATTATTAGAATCATCATTTTATTATTATCTTAGTATATGATTATATCATCATATTATTACATTATTATTATTTTATTATTACTATTCTTATTTATTGTATTGTAAAGTATTTGACTTGTCCTCTATCATGTATAATGCTCCATGGATATGAAGTAAATAAATAAATAGATGTAACTGTAATAATGTTATGGCTTGTCACCAGATACTCAATTGTGATGATGTTAGCACATACAAATGTGGATGGCATTAACACAGGAGATATTGTACATTTGCATCCTATCTTTTAACCTCTATTTTTGGTATAAACATCATACCACATTTAATAAAGGTCCATTTGAAAGTTAATATATATTAGGAAAGGGCACACTATTTTTTGTTATTGCTAGTGGGGTGGGACTAAGTCCCTTGTACTGTGGCCACTTATGGGCTATTGTACCAGCCCCAGATGATAGGTGAGGGTGATTGTGGAGCAATTGGTGGAATGAAGATTGGCAGGGGAAACCGAAGTACTCAGAGAAAACCTGCCCCAGTGCCACTTTGTCCACCACAAATCCCACTTGACTAGACAGACCTGGGATCGAACCTGGGCTGCTGCGGTGGGAAGCTAGCGACTAACCGCTTGAGCAATGGCACGGTCCAAAGGCACACTAAAACATGCAGGCAGAACTGCAGTTTTCTGGGATGTGACATCATGTGGTCTGTATATCCCAAAAGACTGCAGTCTCAGTATTCAGCACAATGAGGACTTTAAATGTCATAAGATAAAGACAGATATTAAGTTTTAATTCCCTGCATAAATAAGGAATGTACACATAGATGATTCACATGAGAGTATTTAACATGATTTCACATTACAAATGTGAAATGTGACAGTACCTCATGAAATCAACAAATACATGGTTTGGCTCTGCCATTTTGCAGTACTCTGGACCCAAAATCTCAGTTACCACATTGAGTAACTCTTTATCGAACCATTCTTTGTCTGACATAAGTGTGAACCTAAAAAAGAACATACAGAATATAAGTATAATGAATCAAGTCACAATAACAATTTATTTTTAAAACAGAATATTTTGTGTCATTTACTGTAAAACGGAAGATAGAAAAATTAACAAAAGGCCAACATGTAAGTACACTTTGATTACTTTTCAAAGATCTTTACTTAAGGGCCTTACTGAACTATAACATCTATCTTATAAGTCCTTTGACAAATTATGATGAAACTTTGTGTAAGGTGTACAACATTTTAGCTTTGTGTGAATTATAAAATATAAATTCCACTTAATTTAGTTCCTTTCAAGTTCTGTTTTACTCAAGGACCTATATAAAATTTTATACAAGATGTACCTGAAAAAACTGCACTCAATTTAAGGATGAGTGTTGGGGCTTAACCTTTATCCTACGGCCCTTTAAACTTAGGTTGTGTTAGCGGTACGGATTTCTTTAAAGGTCCGCTATTTGAGATTCGTTAAAATTGTAGTCACTTACTAATTTTGCTCCTATTTCTGCTATTTCTGTGATAATCGAACGAAATAAACGCTGTTTTTTTCTCGAAAGAATATAGAATCAGATATTGTAATTTACAGATTGTATAAAACATGTTAAAATTTTTGCACTGACACCAAAGTAGAATTTTCGCAGTTTCTTGTTTCTGTGCAAGAATTCATACGTTCTGGACACCCCTGTTTGGATGTTGCTGATGACGACACTTGTGCAACTCTCGGTAACACCGGATGTTGAGTCTAGAGCTTATCTTTGGCCACTACTAGAATATGGACAGTGGAAGAGTGATATAAAGTCACGTGTTGTTGCATATAGAGTTCTTCTGAACAATACGTGTACTGTACTTGTAGAGTTGAAGCCTTCTTTTTGTT